TATCATTTGTTACATCTTTTTGACAGTCGAGCATCAATTTAGAAATGCCCTGCAATGAACTCGGAGAGAAGCCTCGCTCAAGGTCAAGTGAAGGAGGACACAGTGCAGTGCTGAGCCAGTCTGAGCTAACAGCTGCTGGCCTGAGCAGTGTGGGTATAGATGTACACCCTTCCCAGTTTTCCTCCCCTCTGGTGAGTCAGAGGTAAATGGTCTCGAGTGCTAAGGGATTCATCTTCTGCAGAGCACCAAGAGGAATACGAGCCAGTGTCAGCTACAGAGCACAAAATCTTATTAATTAGAGAATAACCAGATTTCTTACTGTCTGTTTATGGGGCTGAGGCCACTGCAGAGACACACACAGCCAAACTGGGGTGAGCCATCCCATCTCACTGGGACTGTCTGATGCTGCAGGAGAGGTTGGAGAGACACTTTATTTACTTTGGAGATGTGCCGCATTTACAGCAAGCCCAAGCATCTCTTCACAGTGCTGTGCTTTGGCAATGTAAACAGCTCTGGAATGTTTTACACTGAAGGCTGCAGTGGATTTTGGGTGGAAAAATGAGAGTTCTCATTTTGACAGATATCAGTGTAAGTGATTGTGTCCCAGTAACATTTATAATGAGCAAAAACCCAGCTCTAACCAATAATAGGGATGTACTTGGCTCTTCATAACATTGGAAACAATTATCAGAGGCAGAGGTTTAAAAAGAAAAAAAATAGAGTGGGTGATAATTGGGAAACATTAAAAACCTGTCACTGAAGGCCCCAAAAGGCTATCTAGGAGGAAAAATATAATGTTGGTTACAGAACCAACCAGTTTAGAGGGAAAGTAAAGGAAGAGTTAGAAACATAACAAATGGATTCAAGGGGAAGTTAATGGTGATGTGTAAAAAGCAGTTGGGTCAGTGGTAAATTAATGATTAAAATTAAATGTGGAGCACTGTCTAGAGAAGGCTTCTTTTCCCTGGCAAAATAAAGGAAAAATATGATATCCTAACAACAGTGTTGGACCATTATCAGACAGAAATAGATTTTATCAATAATATGGAACTGTTCCTTGAGTATTTCTCTTCTGGTACTTGTGAAGGGTAGCATAATGCAGTCACACCAATATAATGGTGATGGTAAGCAGGTAGAAATATTTTCTCTTTCCATTGTAACTCTGGGTGTTACCAAACATTCATCAGCAGCTTCATGTGGGACTGCAGCCTCAGTGCCTGTCCCAGCTGCCTCCCAGTGCTGGGACTCTGAAGAGCAGTAGCTGCTTGCACACCACAGCTTTTCATCTCTAAGTGCACATCAGCTTACTACCAGAGGCTCAAGGCAGCTGCTACCAAAGTGTGATGTTTTCAAAACCAGGAGGTTTGGACAACTCACTTCAGGAGCTAAACCCAACATGAAAAACACAATTCTGATCATAACTTTTCTTTATGCTTTGTAATATATTGGATGCTTCAGAAGACTGCAAGATGGAAATAGTATCTGATTTTTTAAAAAGGACATGAGATATCCTGGATGATGGTGATTTCGTTGGCCTGATACTGAGCCAGACAAACTAATTGCACAGCTGATGCCAGCTTCAATTAATAGAGTGCTAAACCAGAATAATGGCATTAGTACCAGGCTACATCTTGCCAAATTATGGTTTTGATGAGATGAAAAGTTTGGTTGATGAGTATTGCAGATATTCAGGGTGTTACATAACATTAAATTACAAAACAGGATTTAAAAATACAAATATATTTGTATTCGGGAAATTTGGGGAAACTGCCATGATGCAGTTGAATTTCTGGAGGGATGTTTTTTGTGAAACTGTTCACAGCCCATGTTTTTAATACTTTAATCCATGAGCACACAGTCATTGCTTACAGCTTGCAAGAGGTGCAGAGGTAGCTGTGAGAGAGGAGGATGTGAGGTGTCAGACCTGGCTGATCTCTGTGTATTAGGGCACAGAGAACATGGCTCTGCTTGGTTTCAGCTCCTGGGAAATGCACTGGCAAAGGCACTGAATGCCTTCAGTGCCCTGAGAAAGGCTTTGGGAAGTCACAGTGACTTTCTGCTTGGGTATTGATGCACAGCATGGCCAAAAGACCCACGGCCATCAGCTGTCAGACAGGAGATGTGAGGAGGTGTAGGGACTCTGCTTTTAGTGGGAGCCCAGCACCTCTGGAAGTCAATGTTGGGCTTAGCAAAGAAAAAATTGAGAAATTACCTCCATTAAGTATGTAACAAGTAATAGGCATTTTCCATTTCTTTTCGAAAAAATTTTGTAAACCCCAGTTTGAAGGAAAACAAAATGCAGACTTGAAATAAGGTTTATGTACCTGTGGGTAGAAACTGCATCACTGGGAGATGACTGCTTGAGTTCTATGGTGTTTTACCCACTGATGCTGTGTGTTGCAGGGAGGATTTAGTCCAGGGAGTTGCTGTGCTGTGTGGCAGCTCGGGCTGAGAGATCATAGCCTGGATTTTGTCATTGGCACAGGGCATGCCCACCACAGCCACTGTTCAACTGTTCATTAGAAATTAGGATTCTCTGCAGAGAAAGCTGTGACAAGCTGTGCTGAATAAGCACTTGTTACAACATACAGATACCTAGAATAACAACAATGTCTTAAACTTGGATCAATGACAGCAAACACCTGCCACCTCCTGCATGTGTCCTGGTTAACATCTTAGCCAGACCAGCCTTCCCTGGCACACCAGGATCCCTGCAGGCCCCACTCCTCCTTGCCCTTTAGCTCCTGCAAAGACCTTGCTCTTTCATTCTCTGCAGGCCAGGCTACTTTGCCATCTCCAGTGTCCATTCTGAGACACTGGCACTTCCAGAAAGTAAAGGCTGTGGAAACTTCTTCCCTAATGGGCAGGAAAATTACTGCCTCCCCACAGGCTTTCTACTAAATCATAACAAGTGTTATCTCAATGTTGGTATCTCTCCCACTACTTAGATAAGAACAAATCCCTGTTGGTGATGTCCTGATAGTGGATACCTGCATAAGCATGCAGAGTATCAGCCCATGGGGCTATGGTCCAGTTAACCCTGTAGACACCCCATCAAAGATAAACAGAATAAATAAACTAGTAGACTTAAATGATTTTTCATCTTCTCAGCTGGGATCCCCAGGCTCTTACAGAGCTACATTTCCTGAAGGGTTTGGAGGAAAGAGTTCTCAGCAAAGAGAATATCTGCAGAGCCATAAGAGGGACACAGCAGCAAAACCAAAGCTTTGACTCTCCACCTCATGCTGCCCTCTTTGTGGTTTCTTCTAGGCTTCAGTTCATATGGCAGCCCAAGAAGTCTGGATTTGCAAGTAGCACCTGGGGTTTGAAAGGTTGAGGTTGTTTGTACCAACAGCAAACTGTGCTGTGTCATGGCTTTAAAGTCAGAAGTGACCAGCATCCTTCAGTCACTACAATGGTTTAAAAAAATCAGTGTTATGCTCAAAACATTGCTGCTTTTATGAGGATAGAAGTTTTTATAAGCTTTGGCCAGCTTTTAGTACTTTCATGTTTCTCAGTGGTAATGAGAAGGCATTTTAGCAGTAGCATAGAGTTCAAGTAGAGCTGCACTTCATCTGCTGGGGACACAACAGGTTAAGTAATTTCCTGTTGTCTTCTCAATTGAGCCCAAAACCCTTGGAAGAACATAGGTAAACACATCCTTGGACAGCCTGCAGTGAGATTACTTACTGTGTGAAAAAACAGAAGCAGGAGTAAATACACTGATGGGTTGTCTTTACAGAGAAGTCAACATGGGGTACAATATCATAGAAATTTATTCATCGTATCAGACACTTTGCATGACTTCTTTGTGCAGACTGCTGGATGTAACTCCTCTTATCCTACAGTAAAGGGTCTGTTTTGCACAGAGTAATTTTGTTTTGCCCCCTGTCTGCCTAGACAGGGGCACAGTAAGCTGTGTGGTGTGAATGCCAAGGAAAGAGGGCAAAATACCCATAAATCCTACCTTCAGACATTCTCAGATATTTCAGACTGCCAGCTTAAGATAAAGCCCAAAACACCACATTTTTTCAGAAAAGAAATAATAAAATGCCAAGAAATAGTAATTTTAAAAAAAAAGGAATGTAAGTACTTCTTCTGGGTTTTGAGCTGAAGCTATGATTAAATCTGAATACTTTACAAAAACAACCCATTCAAAATGTGAAAGTCGTAAGGTACCTTAAAAACTATGCTTATTTAGTCTTGCACAAGTCAGTTGTAATGTTGGATTAATATCTGTTTAATTCTCCTATGGTGTTTCAGGCTCAGGAGAAAAGAGCTGTATTTCAAAAATACTCCAGAGTTAATCAGGGATGTGGCAGCATCTGCTTAAGAGAGACCCATAATTGAATCATCCCTAATTAACCTATCACCTCAACAGAAGGGAATAGGATGTTGGTACCACTACTGAAATGGATAAGAGTGATGGGAATGGAAAGGGGGGAGGATGAGGGCAAAGAGAAATAAAGCAATTTGCCTAACACCTAGTTTTATAATAAATTTGGGAGGAGGGAGGGAGTAGAAATTGGAGTATACAAGTCATTGAATCTCTGTAGTATATTTAATCAGACTGTAGTTTCAAAAACATTTAAGCATATTTACATATTAATCAATGCATTATTTAGGTCCAGTAAATGTTTCCTCCTTTGTATGGTTTGGGATTTTTACAGTATTTACAGATTTTTTTTTTTCTTACTCCCATTACTGCTGACCTAATTTGTATTTGGAGTAATTATAATTTCAAACTTGGAAAAAAAACCCTTTGAAAACTAGTGGGCAGAAAAATAAAAGTAATTTCAGAGATCTCAGTATAGGCAATACAATACTTGTACATTTATTACATGAAATATCTTCACAAATCAAAATAAGAAGTATTTCCTATTTGAAGTAAATCTCACAGAGATAGAACAGAGATACTAAGGAACACTGCTTGATTAATGTTGTTGTTCTATTTTGTGCTTTATAGCTAATGTACAGTAATTGCAATTTGTTTCATGCAGTGCCCTGCCAGACGGTTTTAGATTATTTGAAGACTGTACTTCAGCATCACAACCAGCTCATGGTACCACAGCCAACAGACCACCCAACCGAGGTAGTGTACAGTGGAAACCCTAAGCTGCATCTCTTTATGCTGGGTAATTCATTACAAACATGCAGGCAAATAAATCAGTAGGTGTTTAGTAGCAAAAACAGGTTAAAAACTGTCATTGTTAAGTACAGTGATACCCTAAATGGAGGAAACACATCATTAGCATAATCTAGAATTACTTTACTGAGCAGCACCTAACTCCCTCTATCAGCACCAGGTGTGCTTGCCTTGCTTTGGGTAGTTTTTCTCTCCTCTTTCTTCAGAAACACCATATTTGTGGGTAGAATTTGGGCTAGGCCTAGCTGGTGACAGCTATAGCTACGTGACTGAGAGTGGCTGCATGTGGCATGCAGCAGTTCAGGGTGTGTATCACTTTGCTCCTCCATTCAGTTTTATCCTCTGCAAATTAATATATACATATTTATATTTATATTTATCACTAGCTGTTATCATTCAAGTATATTCCAAGGATTCATTTTCCTTTTTTTAATGCTCTTTTGCTTAACTAAAATTTTCAAGTACTGTAAAAACTGAGGCTGTTCTGTAATGTCTCACAAGAAATAGCTTGTCACACTGTGACAGAATTTTTATTCAATTAAACGCACAAATATTAATCTTTTATTCATAAATTTCATCATGTACAAATACAAGCAGAAATACATTTGTATTTTTGGTTCTTCCTTCAGAGTCTGCTTATTTCATTTCTGGGAGTTTTTATGTTTGTTTTAGTTTAATGACTGCTGGACACACCAAACTACATCATATATTTAGTGAGAATGTTTTGCCCAGAGTGCTTTACTCTCTGAGGAAGCAATGAAAGTGTATCTGTAGCAGGAATCCAGTAATTGTTTAACAGAGTAGCATAACACTATATCATGCCTTGGAGAAGAATGAGGAAAAATATCCAACATTTCAGGGGGAACAAGAGAGAAGTGTTATAAAATTGAGGCTGAGGAGTTATACAAAATTTATTACCCTCTCCTCAGTTAATAGCAGGGTGAGGTCTCACGAAATCTAGATGTTGGGCCTTTCTGCACCCTATTTTCATCAGTGCTATATATGTATAAACACCAAATAGCTTCTAGGATAGCTTGCTGCTTAGCAAAGCCACCCATGAGCATGTGTCCCTAATGCACATGAGCAAGCCTGGAGCCTAACCCTGTGCCATTATGGGCTTGCATTGCATAAGCCAGGCCTGGCAGAGCTTAAAAGCAAGGCAGCACCTACAGTCACCTGCAGCTTATACTATGCAGTGGTATCAGTAAGAATGGGCATTGCTTCACTAAAGGGTTTTTTAATAGGAAAAAAATAGGTTTCAGAAATTCAAGGTAGGAAAATAACTTATTTTATATAAAAGGGATGTGAAGCTACCTGCTGAAAAACAATTAAGTACCAGCGTGAGGATCACGTGGTCCTTTGTACTGACGCAGTGGAACAAGCCAAGGGAGTATTCCTGCCAGCTCCCCTTGTGACAGAGTGGTCACAGCTACTTCAGCATAAGAATATATTACCTCCAAAGAGCTTTCCATGCTGCCCCTCTGCTCTTCTTCCTTCCCCAGCTCCTTCACAGTGTTGGAAGAGGACAGGGAGCTGGACTGGGTGGTTTGTAATGTTCTTCCATGGCAGAGCTCTTCAGACATTCAGGCTTCCCATGTATGGGCAAAAACTAAAGCAGCTGCCTGTGTCATGAGTGGAGGGGCAGGAATTGACCCTGACCTGTTTGCGGTGATGTGAGGAGAAAATGAAGTGCAAAGAGAAAGCCACAAATGTAACAGGGCTAGACCCTAGGTGAAGGGTTTTTCTCTTAGGGGTTACAAGCTTGAATTTACAGCTACAGGGGAGTGAAGTGTTGAGGTGTTTGGGGAGGAGTGGCCCTTCAGACAGACAAAGCCCATCTCTTCCCTTATATTTTGGCTTTCTTTGCAGCTTTTTGGGCTTGTCCGTAGCTGTCTGTGCCAGCAGCTTATAGCAAGGCAAACAAGTAGCAGACAGCCACACAGGCTGAGCCCTCAGTGATGCTAACCCCACTGGGAGGTGGTGTGACTCTAGATCATAGAGATTATCTAATGATAATCTCAGCACAGTCTTCACTAAATTCAGTCTTCCATATTTTATCAAACTCGCAAAAAAATTAAAAACAAACACCTGAAGAAAAACTTCAAAGATGCTCTCAAGCTGTCTCCCAGGCTGCTATAATAAATATGTGAAAGAAGGCAAGGGTAGTCCTTAAAATAGTTTTCAGATATCAAAGGCCTGGAAGTGAGAACTTTGCAGCACTTGCCCACAAGTGTGGCATGTGGCTGAGCACCTCCCTGAGCATCAGACCTGGGTTTCTCTAGCTCACTGCAAGCTCCTGTCAAACCTCAGGGCTACACAAAGAGTTCACTAATTGGGCTATCAGATTTATGGGTTTTGATGAAGAGGTGCAGCTGTAAAAGTGAAGGAGTCTCTAGGAGGGTGTGGTTGGGGTTTTTATTGTGTACTTCAATTATTTCAAGTATATTAACGGTACCATCTTACATTAATTGGGTAATCCTGAACTATAGCGTTTTATGGGCAACAAGAATTAAGTACAATTTAGATACAATTGACTTAAGAGGGCTTATAAATGTGTGTGGATTACAGGAATCCCCATAATTAGTCCCACAGCATTCATTTAATGTTGGAATATTGAAGCACACAAATTATGAAGGTTAGAAGCAAAATTTCTTTCCAGCTGACACAGTGGCATTTCTTTAAAGCTATAATTTGAGTTAATACAGCATTCATTAATAATAATGAAGCTTTTAGTTTTCATAGTTGCTTTACTTATTTTCTTTACATTTTTCACAGTAACATAATTGCTGTCAAGTTTCAGGTGTGTTCTACAGAAGTAATAAATTTATTATAAAAATAGACCAAAAGAGTCGCCTCTGAAGTAAACTATCAGCTGTTGATGAAGTGATCCATTTGATCAGGCTCTTCAAAGATCCTTTTTATGCATTTTATCATAGTAAGAAGAAACATTGCACTTAAATAGTATGCCCAGTTGCTGATTCTTACCTCTTTTTAACCTGTTGGTGAAAGTGGAAATTAGCAATAGCTACACCTCTCAAAATGTATTCATTGTACCTCATCCAACCTGAGTTCTAGAAAATGGAAATGTAATTTTAGAAGTACTCATTCTCTGTAAGAGTAACCAAGTGTTCACTTTGGGTTGTGTTTCACTGTCAGTATCGTGGATAGTTAAAAACATATCTTTTGTTGCAACTGACATCTTCACTTATTTGCCTTGTAAAATAAACAACAGAAATATTTCACTTTTTCAGGGGAGTAAGCAGTTGCTGAACAACTACCCTGTCTACATCACTAGTAAACAGTGGGATGAGGCTGTAAATTCTTCCAAGAAAGACGGACGACGGCTCCTCCGCTATCTCATCAGATTTGTTTTCACAACCGATGAGCTTAAGTACTCATGCGGCCTTGGGAAAAGGAAAAGGTCAGTGCAGTCAGGAGAGACAGGTCCTGAAAGACGTCCTCTGGATCCAGTTAAAGTAACATGTCTCAGAGGTACTGCATCTTTTCGCTCAGTGTCCACCATATGTGATCTCATTTCACCACATTGGCTCTGCCTCAGTAGAAGCGTTTTTGGCTGAACTAGAAGGGGTTTCACAGGCAGGTGACAAGCACCCAGAAACCCTCCACTTTCTTTTCATACATACATACAAGTGTGTATGTATGTATAATATATGTGTTTGGGGTGTTTTTGATGGGAAAAAACAAGGCCTCTTATTTAAGAGAAGACCCAAATGCAAGGGCACATGACACTAATACACTTTAAAAAGCAGTGAAGCAAAACCAGACATTCGTGATTACACTCTTTTATAATAAGTTTAGGTAATTTGTTAAAAGCAATACACAGCAAAACTAACCAAAGGAATAGTTACAGTCTGATGTCTAATAAGCATATGATGCACAAGAATACAGTGCATCATTAGAGTTAGAAGCTGAGTTTCAGAGTAGGTGTGAAAACATCTTCTAGGGTCAAGAATATCTTCAGGTTAATTACAAAGTATACATAAGTGTGTTATTCAAAATTTAACTTTTTTTTTGCATACTGATGGAACATTGCCTGAAAATGTTAGGGAACAACTTTCCCCCATGTTTGGCCTGAAAAGGGAGGGGAGTTTTGCAAGCATTTCACAATGTTAGAGAGTGAGGATATTGCATAGAAAGGGAGCAGATTGAAAAGAATGTGTATTTTGGTTTCCTAAAATTGTTTGAAAAGGCTGGTAGCAAGCTTTATAATAAAACATATAAAACAGGACTTTTTAAAACCAAAGTAAAAATATGTTTTTAGTTTCAACATCTGCATTGTATAAATGCATATGTTTATTATTTCTTTAATTAACTCATAGTTAACTTTATAGTATTCTTTGAGCACATATGTGAAATTTTGGTTGAACTAACCTCAAGAATGTTTTACTAATCAATGCAATGTAAAAAGCTATATTGTGGTCAGTCAGTGATAAAAATATCTTCAGTTATCCAGCTGGAGTCCAAAGTGGTTATACACATCAGATATATGGGCCTCTTCCCATTTAGGGTAGAAGAATCCACCAAGGCTAAGTAGATAAGGCTTGAGGTTAGGGTACAATATTGATGTAACCAGGTAATGAACTCAGATTTGACATACAGACAAATTAGGCAAACAAGCACTTTTTGTACTACAAAATAATCTTTTAAGCTGCTGTATGAGACTCTACCAGAACTCTATCAGAGCTAAATTGGAGGGCAAATCCATCGTACACTGTGCTGCAGAGGTCTAGAGAGAGCAGGGGCCCAGAAGTTCTTCTGGAAAATGAAGGCTGGAAACAAGCACTTTAGCATTTACTAAGTTACTTTAAGTATCACCTAATAATTTATGCACAAGCACAGTGTTGATACCCTTTTCTTCCCCTTTCTCTCACCTGCCTCCCAAGACTAATAGTAAATGCACCTGTACATGGAATTTTGCTTGCGGCCACTCTCTTTTTGAGGTCCTGGACACACAGAGCATGGGGAGCACTCCTTGGGAGAAAGAGAAAGGGTAATTTCTTTAATTACCAGAAGCTTGAAGAGGAAGCCAAAACATGCAGTATGTAATGACCAGCTAAGAAAGCAGAGTAGACAGCTCTCCCCTTGGGCCTTCATGTGTAGGTGGGAGCATGACAACTTTCTCCAGTGCTGAGAGTTGGCCACTAGCTCCTACTCATTTACAAGCCAAGGTAGCAAGTGTCTGACTAATTCTCAACCCAGCTAATTATGCCTTTCCACCATAGCAGAGAGTGCAAATTGGTTCTCTGTCTGCACTCAGAGTTTAAATATATATAAACATTTTTAATATATTCCTACAACTGACTGGTGTCTAGAACCAGTTTTAAAACATTCTGGCATGCTTAAATTATAGCATTACTTCTTTACGTGGTAACCATTTCTCTGAGAAAAAGATGAGTGTGGGGGCACATGTGAACATAACTAGGTAGGAATTACTGTTGCCTGTGTGGATTTCCAGGGAAATGAATTTAAAACAGAGATTGCTATCACTTTTGCAGACACACTGCTAGAGGAGGTATGCAAAAATCACATCCTAATTGTCTAACAGATGAGATACCTTGCAGGCACGGGAACTCATGTAAAAGCACAGCATTCCCTGTCTGGAGATGTGGTGACAGTAATGAAGTTACCTTACACCACTTATTGTGCTGTTGGCTTGTCAACAGTAGAAAATAGAATTTAAAAATATCCTGGGACACACAATGCTGCATGAGGGAATAACTAATGTTACAGAATAAATAAGCAGCTCCATTTCTGTATGAGGTACACTGTATCCAGTATCTCTAATAAGATGCCCTCAAATTTAAAATCATATTTAGTTGTTTCAAAGTCCAAATACACCTATTTGAGCTATGTCTAGCAGTTACAACTCCAGACTTGGCAGGGCACCTTCTGCAAGTCTAGCATATAGCACGTCAAAGAATGTGAAAAATAAATTATAAAAAATGTAATCATCACATACAAATAGCTGTATGTGGCAGCAGCAGCTATTTAAATAGCTAAAATGCATGCAGTACAATTCATTTTCTCCTGCATTGAAAACTATTGCAAAGCTCCCCAAATCAGCTCTCTGATCTCATTTAGCTATTTCTAAGGCCAAATTAGTCCCTGAAAAAATAGGTGTAAAATACAGGGAGATGAAAATAGCAGAACTTAAAAGAAAGATCTCCCAAACAGACAGGAGCACCAAACTGAAATAATGGCAGTGACATTTTCCAGCAGGCTGGGGGCTCCTGCAGGTTGCAGGTGCTGAAGAAGCCAGCAGAGGGAGGTCAGAAAGATCCAACAGCAATCACCTTGAGGTATAGATACCAACAGGTTTCTAATGAAAAGTGTCCTGGCTCGTGTTAGCTTCCACACATACTGCACGTGCTGAATCACAGCCTTCACTTCGAATTAGTTCTTTGTATTTCCACAAGAAAGGATTTTATATCCAGGTCCCATGAGTCACCTAGGTAGCTCAGGTGTAACACTGCATGTGGAGAAGCACACTTATGCAGAAATAAAATAGGTCCAAGTGGCATTATCATGGCATCCCCCATAAGGCTTTACTTCTGCTTAAGCAGAGCAGCAATGCCTCCTTTCTTATTTCCCATGAGCTTTTGACACCTGGGCAATACCAGATGCTGCAAAGACAAGTTGCTTTTAATGCCTGCCTGTTTTCCTGCAGAGTTCATTAGGATGCACTGCACCTCCAACCCGGACTGGTGGATGCCCTCTGAGGAGCAGATCAACAAGGTGTTCAGCGACGCCGTGGGACACGCGCGCCAGGGCCGCGCCGTGGGCACCTTCCTGCACAACGGCACCTCCTACTACGAGGGGACTGAGCACCCGGGCTCACAGGATGAAGTCTTCAACAGGGGTATGCAGGATGGATCTGGAGATTGATGGCACTGAGAAACACGTCGTACTGCAGTAGCGACCACCTAATTTAGGAGAGACTGTTTGTTAAACATACTTAACCCTGCTGTCATTTAGGAGTCCAAAGCATGTTTGAACACATACTGCATACATTTCAGCTTCTCCATCCTACCATATCCCAGTTAACAGAAAGAAATCCATTTCAAGACCTGCTTTATGGGACTTCTCAGTGCCTATTATTTCCAAACCCTTCGTAGCACACTCAAAGGGAACGTGCAGTCCATTTCATCCAGTTGTAGAGGAAAGGTCATTTAAAAAGAAACAGCAGCTACTATCTCTTCAGCCCATTGATAACAATCCCAGGCCCAGACTCAGAACAGCTGGGTGCTATTTGCTTTCCCTGACTAGAAGACTTGTACAAGTCTGCACACTTAAAACAAAAACAAACAAACAAACAAACAAACAAAAAGGAGTGGTTTCCCATTTGCTAACAGAAAAGAACGTGACTATGAATGCTACCTTAAAGTACCACACAAGACAGAAAATCCAGGGACTTTCTTAGCCAACTCTGTCAGGAAATTAAGCTTCCTGAGTAAAACAGCAGCACTCATCAACAGCAGAATCCTTCAAAGACCCAGAACAATAACAGGCATTTCTAACAGATAAAAATTGCATTGTATATCAGATAGACAGTATATTTATCTAGATTTCTAGAGGATTAGAGTTGATCATGACAGTTTTTATTAAAAGAAGATTGCTAAAAACAAATTGCCATTTCAGAAGACAGATTTTCCTTTGTCTGTTCCTATTCTGCAGCCATATTGTGTAGCTTTAGAGGCTTTAAATTGCCTTTTCTTGTTTTCACTTTAATTTGTGCTTTATATCTGTTCCTTGAAAGAGGTGAGGCAGTGTGCTGGTTTTGCTCAATGTTGCATTCAGGGAGGGGTTGGGCTAGAAGAATCTGGTTTAGTGTTCTGTAGTAGGTAGGCATGAGATCTAGACTGAGAGCTGCAAGAAAAGAGCTGTTGGAGCAGAATTTGCAATGGTGCACAACATTGGAAGCAGATACTAGCTTTAAAAACAAAAGTCAATCCACAAAAAAAGTTTAATTTTAAATGTTTAGGAGTCCATTGTCCTTCTAAATTGAACCATGCCAGAAACATGCAATGCCAAAGAAACGATGCCCTTTCCTTTCCACATCAGGGTGTTTCCATCTCCTTACCTTTGTGTGCTCACTCAGGCCAGTGTTGGCATCCTCCACAGCCTGAACCAGCACTTCCTGAGGCAACATTTCCCCACTGGCAGGTAGAGGGAGCTGTTTTTTGGGAAGAAAGCTCACTTCACTTTTGGCCATCCTTAGTGCTACCTCATCAGCGTTGGCTCTCCTGAACGCGTCTCTCATACACCCCCAGCTTTCCTCACCGCCTTGTGCAAGCCACAAGCATAGCTACTCATGGCTCCCTTTGCCTTCTCCTCCCCTTCCCCACCTTTTCCCCCTGCACCAGGCAAGGCAGGAGGCACTGGTCCCTTCCTCAGAGACCAGGAAGGGCTCTCTGGGGTGCAGTGCTCCTGGAGACCCAGCCTGGCTGCAGGGCTGGGGCAGTCTCTGCAAGTTCAGCTCACCCACACAGGAGCCCCTTGCCCTCTGCCCCCTCTGCCTGTGGCTGTGACAGGTCTCTCCTGGCCCATGGGGCATCTCTGGACATGGGCTCTCCATGCACTGCCATAGAGAGGACCTTACCTTGCTCAGTCCCTGTGTGCTTTAGGCCCTCAAATGTCCAATACCTCTCAGTTCACTTTAATTTTGGTGATTTTTTTGAAAGGGGGTTGAAAGGTACTCACTGGCCCCAATATAATTAATTTATTTTCTTAAAGTCAACTAGAAGTTTAGTCACTCACTAGACCAAGGGGTTTAGTACAGCATTCCTTCATTACAGGCAGGAGGTGACTTTCTTGGAGCGGTCACACCACGTGGTGGCCTCTGGAGGAGAAATTCAGTGTATAGAAATGTCACAGTACAGATATCCTATAGTAGCTTTTCGGTGTTGAACTTACACTTTTATAAAAAGAACTATAATAGAAGATGTTACATTGCTCAGATGGTGTAAGTCTTGCTGGTCTATGTTTAATGTGGTGACACATGCCAGAACTATTTGGTAAAACATGTCAGAACGTGTGAGTCAACATTATACTGTAAATTTGTCCACAGCGATATGTATCATGCTGTATTTTTGTAAACATTGTGATGGTTTCCTTTCAGATGCTTAATTGTATGATGTTTAAGATATAAACACTTTTTAACAGTCACAGAACAGAATTACTGAACTGGACAGACCTCTCACTTAATAACTGAAAGACTTGCTGAAATAACTAGTAAGCCTAGCTTTATTTTTAGTGTAAAAAGCGTAGCAGCATCCTGGAGCCACTCACAATCCTCTACTCTCATTGTGCAAAATAACCAAAAGTATAATTTCATCCTGAAAGCCACTTTGGCAGTAGAAATGGCTTTGCAGATTTGGACCTTTCTTTATGAACAAAATTTTGTCCTCAATTGCTTATGTGCACTGGCCAGTGACATGAATCATGGTCACAGACAGGCATTAACAGACACCAGCTCATTTTTTTGTTCATGTTTTGTTTTAAAGTAACAGAGTATAAAAACTTTCGTCAGTTGTCTGTTTTCAATTGCCATCGTGGCCACTTGACCCACACATTTCATTTTAAAAATCCCAAACCTTGCACAACAACTTATTCCAGTTAATTTGTTCATTAGGTGTTATAAATTCATACACATTGAAGCATCTAAATATCTGCAATATGTTAGATATGGGACCTGAAATAATAGATAGCACATAAGCCCTTGCAGAGGGAGATATCCATATTTAGGCAGTGTGCTTTATAAGCCAGCACATCCCTTCCCAGCAACAGAAGGAAACTGCTATCTATCATGTCAATCCAGGAAGTCCCAGGAGGACAGAGATGCTTGTCTTATCCTTCCATAGGCTTTAATCTTACTGTCATTTATGTATCTGCCTTCTCTCAAACTTTGTGTAGCAGCACCGCACGCCCATCTGTGCCAACATGCCTTCGCTATATTTTCTATGACAAATATTTGTGGAGAAACTGTGATTAAAAAAAACATTAATCCTGATATTTTTATTGTTATGGTGTAGTTAATTCTATGAATACTTTCTTATGATGATTGTACTGTGTAGAGTAAGTACAGGTTAGGGATAGACCTTTATCAGATATTGTACAAAAGAAAAGTGCATAGTGTAATATAGACTAGTAAGGTTTTTGTGACAATTTCTATAGGATGTGTGAATTGTTTTCTATGTGGCAACACACATTTCTTTTAAAGAATATAAAATCTTAGAGAATTTTTTAAACAGTCAATATTTTTAATTATAAAGACATTTGTTACCTACAGTTTACTATTTCAGGTGTTAATTCTAATTTGAATATTGGTTTTACTACATACCTCCAGTTCCATTTGTTCTGTTGCATAAAAAATGCACAATAAAAGTTAGTCTCTGGTTAACCTGTCTCTTTCTTTCTCTAGAGGCAATCTTGTGTCAGTGTGACAGCCATGATACCTGGGTCTCACTATAAATATATATTAAAAGTTTTAGATTTATATAAAGGGCTAGAGCATTTTCTTTTGCATTAAATGCTTGTTTGGTATGAAGCACCAGAAAGCACAGGAAAAGATTATGAAGAATTCAAGTATGAATATCATATAAATCATTTTCACCTCAATGTACAGCCACATAGATTTATGTGCTGGTTAAATAGAAAGACTATTAAAAGGAAGTACCCATCTGCAATCTTAAAACCTGGATTTTCAAGCAGTGACGTTTAAATCCCATTTTAATTCAGAATCCAGTGATGGCTGAATGTATCCTGTTCTCTTAAACGCTTTAGAAAATCCTGGCTCCAGATAATTTGTAGAGGAATTACAGTGACAAACATTCACCATGGCAAACCTCTGCTGCTGGGCTGTGAAGCCAGGGCCAGCCCACAGGCTGGTGTCAGCCACCTGAAATGGTTATTTCCATTCACATGTATATGTATGGTATGTACACATCTATACCATGTGTATAAATGGTACACATTTTATAATGGTAACAAACAGTACCATTATAAAACAGTGCTTTTGGGTGCCTGTAATGCTGCAAAATTAACTGGGGTTGGGCAAGTATTTTCTAGGTCAGGGGCTTCAGCCTGCTGCTTTTTTTTTTGGTGAAGATCACAATAAGTGAGAACCATTTTCTAATCTCCCCACCAAAGTAATTTCGGGTAACCAAGAAATGGAGGTAGAAAATCTGCATTAATCCATCTACAAACAATTATAATTAGCTTCTCTCTGAAAAATTTTGACTTCCCAGACTTTTGGGTGATGGCTGGAAATGTCTGAGGGTAGATCTGGAGGCAGGAGAGAACAGGGATGGGCTTTGTGCAAACCAAGCAGGGTGAAGGAGCAGTACAGGCAGGAACCCAGCAGGGAAAGATGGCAGGGAAGAAGAGCACCTAAGTAGGGGACCAAAGGCAGCAATTGGGTTTATGAAGCTTGAAGAGATTAGTCTACCAGCATGAGAGGCAGTGCCTGGGGCTGGGCAGGCAGAGAGAAGGGGTGCAGAAGAGATACCTGGGATGGGGAAGAAGCAGGCCTGGGAAGTAACTGCAGTGGAACAAGCAGCACAGATGGGGAGTTTAATTCAATAATGTTGCATTTTATCACTCTTCCACTAAATACCTGTTAAACATACTGGTTAGGCAATGGCTAAACTGTGCTCCTGCCGTGCAGCAGTGCTGGTGCCCTCAGAAGCATGCCCATGCTGGCAATTCTATCTCTCCTGAGGCATGAGATGTCCCTGAAGAGAACTTTAAGGTCCAAGTCAGACATTGAACCTCATGCATATGAAGGTATTCAGTTTTTACCTCATTTGCTTTGAACAAGCTCAGGTGCAAGCTCATATTATTAAAGTGTTTGTAATGTTACTTTAATAAGATTACTCACGTTGAAA